ACATGCCCAGCATGGTCATGTTCTCCGCCAGAAAAGGCCCTGAGCAGCAGGAATGCAGCCGCTCAACCAGCTCACCTGTTCTCTGACATTTCCTTTGAAGCAGTCAAAGCTATCTGAGTCTCTTAAGATTGGGGACAGAAAATGCCAGGCATTGCCCTGTAGTCATTTCTTAGCTACCCATAGCTAATCCGGGTTCTGCAGCCTCCATTAATTGTCTTGGCTGACAACAAACATTTCTGCTTTTGGCTGCACAGACTCAATTTCTCTTCCATTTCCAGCACAGTGAGGAAGGTGCAATGCTGTATGTAGGTTCCTGCTCTACTGTTTCTTTAGGATGTAAAAGACAGATGGATGGCCATCTGTCAGGGATATTTTGATTGTACTTTTCCTGCATAGCAGAAGGTTAAACTTTTTATTATTTAATTTATATACTGCTTTTCTCACCCCTGCGGGGGACTCAAAGTGGTTCACAGCAAAGTAAATGGCAAAATTCAATGCCTCACATAAAATATAAAATCACATAATTAAAACAGCATATAACAATAGATCAAGACCAGTAAACAATAAAACATCGAACATAGACAAACCTTAAAACATAGAACATTAGACATTGCATCAATCCCGAGGTTATCTTGACTACTTCATCTCAGTCCCCAAATACTTGCTTTAAAAGCCATGTTTTAAGTTGTTTCCTAAATGCCAGGAGGGGTAGGGCCAATCTAATTTCACTGGGGAGAGAATTCCACAGCTGAGGGGCCACCACCGAGAAGGCCCTGTCTCTCATCCCCACCAGTCGCACCTGCGAGGGTAGTGGGACTGAGAGCAGGACTTCCTCAGCCAAACTTAATGCTCTAACTGGATCATAAAGGGAGATGCATTTGGATAGGTAAGCTGGATCACAATTGTTTAGGGATGTATACTCCAAAGCCAGCATTTTGAATTGTGCTCTAGAGCAAACTGGCAACCAGTAGAGCTGACTCAACAGAGGGGTTGTATGTTCCCTGTGCACTGCCCCAGTTAGAAACCTGGTTGCAACCCACTGAACTGCTTGAAGCTTCCGAACAGTCTTCAAAGGCAATCCCACATACAGCATATTGCAGAAGTCTATTCAAGATGTAACAAGAGTGTGGACCACTGTGGCCTACATGGCCCATGTCGTCTCTTCCAACTCCATAATTCTATGATTCTCTCAGTTTTGATATTGTGGCAATTATTCAAATGCCCACTGCAGTTTTGTCGAAGTCTTGATTCATATTAGATTGTGGGGTCTTTTTCCTTTTCACTAGGAAATCCATATGTATTTTTTTCCTTTTTAAAAGGAACTTCACATATTTGTGTTGTTGTTGTTGTCGATGATGACGTGTAAATTCAAGTCATTTCCACCCTATGGCAACTAAGGCTAACCTATCACTGGATTATCTTGCCATGATTTGTTTGAAAGAGGTTTGCTATTGCCTTCCTCTGTAGCTGGAAGAGTGTGACTTGCCCAAAATTACCCAGTGGGTTTCATAGCCCTGGCTTGTGGGTATATAATCCAGTGTTCAACTCACTACACCATGTTGTACGTTTTTATATATCAGAGGTGTGCATTGTATAGCCCACTGATTTTTGCAGATCCAGGACATTACTGGATTACTCCACCCCACTCCAGGAACCGGGACAATCCCAGTTAATCCTTTGCCATACCCCACCCCCTTTTAAACTGCTTTAAAAATATCCCAGGGCACATCCACAATGTACCTAAAATACACGCCCTCCCGTGTTTTTAGCTGTGGTGTTCAAATGACGCCTCGGGTAAAAACGAATTGCTTTGGCACAAAGTAGAAAATTCCAGCTTTGTGCCGAATTAATTTTACAGTTGGAAAGACCCATATCTTCACAACTGTCTTGGGATTTTTGGATTCCTAGAGCCTGAAAAACCCCAAACAGCCCCTATCCCTTCCCAAAAGGGTCTTTTAAAAAATTACTTACCTGGCCGCCCTGCTACCAGCCCTCTCCTGGCATGTAGTAATGGCACAGCAGGAGAAAGGGGGAGGAGGAAAATCGTTCCTGGGCCCCCCTTTTCCTGGTGCATAATTTCTATGCACCAGGAGAGGGCCGATAGTAGGAAAATGCCATCCAGGTAAGTAATTTTTACTTTTTAAGGCTTCTCTGTGGGGTTTTTTTTGCCATGCTAGATCTAGCAGGGCATCTGGACACCCCCCACCACCACCACCACCACCAGTTTTTTTTTTACTGGTGCAGGGATAGAAGTCCAGCCTGACATGGGTTTTTTTAACCCCGGGTTGGTTGGCTCGGACCGGACTTTATTAATATTATTAACTTTATTTGTACCCCGCTAACATCTCCCGAAGGACTCGATGCGGCTTACACAGGCCAAGGCCTCAATAAAACAACAGCATAACAAATACATATTAAAACTCATAAGCAAACCTGGAACTGCCCCCAGTTTCTCCCTCCTCCTCTGACTTCCCTCCTTCATCTTCAGCTGATATCAGCTGCTCCATAATGAATTGAAGATGCAAAAGGAGTTTGTGTTCCAACTTTGAGGGGAGGGAGGAGAGGAAGGGTGAAAGCTTGACCTTCCCAGTAGTCTCAGGCCAAAGTAAACTGCTGCAGCTTCTCTTCAGTTGTCGGTTATCCCTCATTTTTTCTTTTAAAAAGATACAAAAATTAAAAACATAAAGCACATAACCCGATACAAAGCATGAGAGTGATTGCCCGTAAAAGCCTGTTTAAATAAAATGTTGTTGATGGCGGTTATAGGGAAGGAAAGAGGGGACCAGTTCAGCCTCCCCTGGAAAGGCATCTCAAAGAGTGGGAGCAGCCCTTGAGAAGGCTCTCCCTCTCTCTCTCTCTCATGCTCTCACCACACAAGCCTGTATTGGCAGAGGGGCCGAGAGAAAGCCTCCCTTTGAAGATCTAAACGTTCTGGCAGGTTTGTATCAGGAGATGTGATCTTTCAAATAAAACCAAGCCATATAGGGCTTTGTAGGTTCTGACCAGCACTTTGAACTGTGCCTGGGAATAAACCTGTATTAATCAGGGATATAGATGATCCTATCACTGGCCCTCTTCACATCCTGGCTGTAGCATTTTGATCCCCCCAAAGTTTCCAAAGGCTGCCTCACATAGAATGCATTATAATACCTCAGTGTAACCAGATAAACACAATACTGTGAAATTACAAACACGGATCGGCTAAAATGATGTAAATGGATAAGGAGTTGAACTGGAAGACATTGTTTTTTTATAGTTTTAATGGTTTTTATATGGATTTTATGATGTGACTTAATTTGTTTTTGAACTGATATATGTATGTATGTTGTGGTATCTAATTGTTGCCAGTCTGTACACCGCCCTGAGTCGCCTTTGGGCTGAAAAGGGCGGGATAAAAGTGATGTAAATAAATAAATAGCCCAAATGGGATATAAAACGTGGGACCTGTTTTGCAGTTGCTTGTGTAAATCAGCAGCTGCATCTAGTATTTGTCAAGATACATTTTGCAGGGACGTATGCACTCAATAGGGGCCCCTGGTTGCGCAGTGGGTTAAACCACTGAGCTGCTGAACTTGCTGATGGAAAGGTCAATGGTTCGAATCCAGGGAACAAAGTGAGCTCCTGCTGTTAGCCCAGCTTCTGCCAAACTAGCAGTTCGAAAACATGCAAATGTGAGTAGATCAATACATACTGCTTCTGTGGGAAGGTAATGGCACTCCACCACATGACCTAGGAGATGTCTATGGAGACCGCCGGCTCATCGGCTTAGAAATAGAAATGAGCACCACCCACCAGAGTCGGATACAATTAGACTTAATGCCAGGGAAACCTTTACCTTTATGTACTGAATATCTCCTCACACAATATTTTTAAAATCTTCTAGTATAAGTGATATAACTTACTAAGATTGTTTTCACCATCACTGCAATCCCCATTGCCTCCCAGTGGATCAGTGGATTCAAAAGCAAGGAGCTAGTTCCAGATTTAGATGCACACCTCTGGGCATTAATAATATAATGCTTCTATAGTGTGTACACGTGTATATTGCAAAAGAGATTCTCTGGTGTTTCCTGTTTCTACTAAAGACACATGCAAACATATAGGGATTATTTTACTGTTTGTTTTTATATGAAAAATAAGGCTTAAAACTTCAAACTATTGTTGACTCAGCTGAACAACAAGAAGAAAAAATGGGTTCTTCATCCCACATTGCTTCTGGGTGGCGGATAGCTCATTTTACAAGTATTAACACTACATTTGCCATTGTAGAACTAAATGCACTTTGGCATTTTCAGTGGAAAATCCTGTAATTCAGAACCAGTAATTTTCCATAAGCTTTCTGAGCAGTGCCGACAACCTAAGATCTTTGTATGTCTTGGCACTATGATCACTTCGGAGTAAGAATTTGAGATGGAAAGATTATTTGGAAGTACTCAAAGAAATGTGTTTCTTGAGTACTTTCAAGTAATCTTTCCATCTCTTATTCTTACTTTGTAATGATGGGATTGCCAAGGTAAACAAAGATCTTAGGATATGTTTCTTGAGTTTCAGAAAACCTTGATGCAAAGAATTCTATCTGATACTTCTTTTTGTGCAGGAAAAAATAATAGAAAATAGGATTCTCTGTGCAGAAAACAGTATCCCCATATGCAGAAAATGCTGTCTCTTGCTCAGAAAGTGCTGTTTTCATTGCAAAAAAATACCTCCTGTGAATTCTGTACAGAAGAAATCCTGAAATGCACAGTTTCAATACTTTTCATATAAATATATACAATTTCTACTATGAAGAAAAAATCATGAAGAATTTCATTTGTAGTATGAATGGTTTTGTAAATTGCATCATAGACAAGTTAATAAAAGATAGAGCTTTCTAGAATCGAATGTTTATTAGTGCTTACCAATCATGTCTGCCTTGGAACAGAATCAATATTAAGTTCTGTGTCACAGTAAAAAATATTCTGTTGGGATGCCTGATTTTTCCATCTGTTATATCCTTCAAGGAAATAGTTAAAGACCCAGAGTTTATTACTGGTGGTGCCACAAGGACTGATATTTGTCAAGGAGATCTTGGTGAGTGTTTTCTGTTGAAATTATCCTTGTCCTCTGCAGGGAAAGGAAACTCATAGCCTCTGAAGATAATGTTGTTCCTCATTGTGTTTATCTCTGATATTACAAATGGCTCTACTCAACTAAGCTGTCCCTAAGAACCAGGCAAAATAAAAACAGACATCAAACATAATCACAAGGCTAAAATCAGCAGCTAGTCTGTTAAATCAGTGGGAACTTGGGAAGCTAACTGCTATGCAAGTTTCATTGATTTGGTGTGTCTCCTGTAGGTGGGACTGGAAATTTGATTTTCGAGTTGGGAAGTACCTTAAAAGTAATCTGTCCCAGTGCAAACACTGCTCAATGCAAGCACTGTTCAACTCCAACCTCCCTGGCATTTATTCATCTAGGAGTTTATCACATGAGACAGGCAAATTGTGAATACAGCAGGACAACAATATCTTTATCTTATTACATGATATTGTTCCTTTTCCACCGCTGTCCCCATGGTACACTGTTGGAAGATATTTTTTCTACAAAAGGATGATGTGATAACAACAGAAGAGCCCATAGAGATGATACCTAAAATAGTGGAAATTATTGAGGATTTTGGGAAAGTGGCTGGACTCACAGTTAGTAAACAAAAAACAAAAATAATGATTGGATTTGCTTTCCTATTATTGTGGTCATCACTTCCTTTTTATGAAGTACAACCGAAGCATTTTCTGCAGAGTCCATTGTAAAGACTGCACAATAGATTTGTGTAAATGTCTAATCAACTACTAGGTGATGTTCACAAAACTTTTATGGTTGCCAAATATTTCGGGACTTCAGCATTGGGGGTGTGACTCACAGTGGCAGTCATTGTGCAAATATATACATGAAAGTATGTGAGTGCCTCTGGCATAAGACCACAGAGCTTGGAAAATAAATTTCTATGGTTCTAAGTTGGCATTTGAAATGGAGTCTGAGTAGAGTACCTCCTCTTATCAATACAAAAAGCTAGAAAAGTGGCACAGTCCTATCCGGCTTTAGCACAGCAGATTAATCACCAGCTGTAGCTGCAGTAAATCTTGCCAACCGAAAGGTTGACAGTTCGAAGCCAGGTCAGGGTGAGCTCTTGACCTTCAGCCCAGCTCCCTGCCCATCTAGTGGATCAAAAATGGCAATTTGAGTAGATGAATAAGTATCACATTAAGCAGGGAGGTATTTTAGGCATGGTGTTCTGATCAGAAAAAGGAGGAAAATTTATGAACAAAGAAATTTCTTTGGCAAGGAGATGAAGCGACAGCACCTCCCTGTGGCCAGAACCAACCACAGCCTCCAAAGATGCCGAAAGATGGGGAAACGCCTATATAAATTCCTCTATCTGTTGTCTGTATTCTCGTTGTATAATTGGCATTGAATGCTTGCTGTATATGTGTTCTGTGATCCACCCTGAGTCCCTTTGGGGTGAGAAGGGCAGAATATAAATACTGTAAACAAATCAATAAAATAAGTTCAATTGAGTTCAACAGAACATATTCTGAGGTGAGTGAGTGGAGGGTTACAGCCTAAACCTCTCTAATAAGTCATGAATTGGCTTTTCCTTTTAAACCAGTCTGCTTCTGTGTGCTTAATACACTTTTATTTTATTTTGGCAAAATGAGCTTTTAATTTGGCATGTGATTTGTTAAAATTGATATTGATTTGCAGGCACAAGAAGAAGCATGGTCACATGGAATAACCATGAGGTTCAAACAATAAGCACTGCCTGGAAATTAGTTGACGTGGGGTTTAATGGGAAGCTCTGGTCTGTATTTTGTACATATGAACTGGATATGGGGGAAAATAAACCTTCGATTAGCTATCTAATAAGAGTGATTTTCATAGCTCTATTTGATTTCCAGGTGATTGTTGGTTATTAGCAGCCATAGCATCACTTACGCTTAATGAAAAGACATTAGGCAGAGTTGTGCCACAGGATCAAGATTTTGGACCTGGTTATGCTGGTATATTTCATTTTCAGGTAAAAATGCCTATATCTCCTTATGATCTAGATGCAATGGTTAATTTATAATGTATAATAATTTCATAATGATCTTTCATGAAATCCTATGGCTATTTCATGCTTTATAGTGTGTTTTAACTGCCAAGGCTGGGATTTGTAATTTGGTAACATTTCTAGAATTTTCTGGTTCAGAATTCAAAACTCCTTTCCCTAAACTGCAAACCCCAGGATTTCATAGGATGAAGCCATGGCAGGTAAAATGAATCCATATTGCTATAATTGTATAGAGTGCAAGGACCCTTTATCCACCTGGGATTTCCAGCAATTAAATAGTTTGCCTCAAGCAACATATCACAAATAAAAACTGTGTTATTCCCAATGTGTCTTGAATAGTTCTGGCAACACAATGAGTGGCTGGATGTTGTTATTGATGACCGACTGCCCACTTTCAAAGACCGTCTGGTTTTTCTCCACTCTGCTGACCATAATGAGTTCTGGAGCGCCTTGCTGGAAAAAGCCTATGCCAAGTAAGCCATGCAGACCATGTGATTGACATATTGTCCTTCCCCCCCCCCCCCCTCAACTATCATAACTTTTTCTTGGTTGCTATCTAAACTCTTTTGTCCCATGGTGATCTTTGTGGTTTTTGAAAGGCTTCTGTAAGGAGCTGAATCAAGAATAAATTAAAACCTGGTGAGGCATTTGCTGTTGGACACCAGTGGAGGGAGCTGAGGATGTGCAGAAAAACCGAACAAATCTTTATAGATGTTTGCTGGAAAGTACTAAATATGATGTTCATAACATTAGATTCGAAAGGGGAGAAATGCACAGTTCAAGCATACGATTAAAATCAACTAATGCACATGTGTCAAACTCAACACCCGCTGGCCAAATCCAGTCTGCCATGTCATTTTATGTGACTCTCCAGATGATGGATGGTAATTCCTGTATTCATCATCACTAAACATCATAGCTCAAGCTGATTTGAGTTGTGATACAGTAACATCTGGAAGGCTGCGGTTTCTTGGCGCTCCGTATCCGTCCACTGATTCAACGGCCCTTTGAAAGCAACCATAAGGCTGATGTGGCCCTCAATTAAAAGTTGACACCTTTAAATTAATGGAAAGCTCACCATACTTCCATATCTAAAATTTCTTTAAATTTAAAACTTCACTTGGTTTGGCTAAAACTGATATTTTGGGTATCTCAGACACCATTTCCTCTTCAACCAAAGGTTAGCCACCTAATCTAGGCAGTTGACAAGTTACGAACAAGATAGGTTTTGTCGCTTTGTTCTTAAGTTGAATTTGTGTGTGTGTGTGTGCATGTGTATCTATCTATCTATCTGTCTATCTATCTATATCTATCTATATCTATCTATCTATCTATCTATCTATCTATCTATCTATCTATCTATCTATCATCTATCATCTATCATCTGTCTGTCTGTCTGTCTATCTATCTATCTATCTATCTATCTATCTATCTATCTATCATCTTTAGATATCCTAGAGAAGGGTTAACACTCCTGTGGTGTTTGTTTTGCGGTCTGTTCCCCTGTTCAGAAGATTTCACCTCACTTTCTGTCCCTGTGATAATTGGATATTTTTTTAAATGACTTGTTTTGTTATGTTGTGGAAACGACGATTGATGATAAAGCTCCAGTTGAAACACCTTTTCCCCATGATAACTCTTCCAGGAGTTAATTTCCCTTCCGAGGGGTAGATTTCTCTCACTTCCTGTCATCTCACTCTCTAACTATGAATCATTTGTAATCAGATATTTGTAACTCGGAGACTACCTGTACTGATAATGCTACCTAGTGTCATATAAAGTGGCATGTTGAATGTTTTTGGCTGCATAAATCAGCTTTTTTATTAGAAAAATATTTAATATTTTTAGATATTTTGGTCTTTTAAATTATATCCCAAAGACTTGGGATTTTACAAATGGCCAACATAGTTGGATCATATGTGCTTTTATTGTTGCATAAGGACTCCATGGCTAGAAAGATTATATATTCTCTGTCTATCATTGTTCAGAAGATCTCACTTTTTTAACTATTGATAAACATGTGTTTTGCAAACACCAACTTCAAGACAATGTGCTTTTGTAAATATGGTGAGCTTATATGTTTAGACTATTTCCCATATCCTATGTATTTTCCTTCCTCCTCCTCCTTTTCATTTCTTTGTAATTATACTTTTTATAAATCTAATAAAAGAAGAATGATGTTGGATACCTCTGCAACAATTTTTTTTCAAAATGACTGAAGTATGTATGCTTTTGGAAACAATTCATAATTTCTCCAACAATGATAGCTAGTAGCTACCTATTCCATCAGCTATGCACTGAATTGGCGAAAAAATTGATATTGTCACTACTCTTTTCCATGAGTTCAATAAACCATGTTTTGTGTAGATATGTGAATGCATTTTTTAAAAAACCATTCATGTTTACTGTAGGTTGAATGGAAGTTACGAAGCTCTAAAAGGTGGAAGCACAATTGAAGCCATGGAGGATTTTACAGGAGGTGTCGGAGAAATGTATGAAGTTAAAAAGGCACCAGAAAACTTCTATGAAATCTTGGAAAAAGCTCTTAACAGAGGGTCAATGGTGGGCTGTTCTATTGATGTAAGTAAAAGAATATGGCTGGGTTTCAGTTTTGGTTTTTATTTATAATATTTTTTCAAAAATGTTTGCTACATTACATTAGTGCAGAACTTGGAAAATATATGAGACTAGCCATATTGATGGGAGGATTCTAGGGAAGATAGTCCAAAAAGGAACTTTTTTGAGTTCTAGAATATATTGTGAAGGGATGATACTTTGTCAAAAAGTGTCATAAACTATTGGTGTCATAAACTTAAGTCTGTCTGCCTATCATGAAATAGGCAGACAGACTTTCAGACTTGTTGAACTTCAGGCACCTTACAAATAAATATAAAGCTAGCCTATAAAATGATCAGTTATAAAACTTAATTTTGACAGACACCTTAAATGCCTCTCCTCTTTTATCATAGATCATTTTTGCATCTTAAAGCTCACATGAATCATAGAATCATAGAATCATAGAATCAAAGAGTTGGAAGAGACCTCATGGGCCATCCAGTCCAACCCCCTGCCAAGAAGCAGGAATATTGCATTCAAATCACCCCTGACAAATGGCCATCCAGCCTCTGCTTAAAAGCTTCCAAAGAAGGAGCCTCCGCCACACTCCGGGGCAGAGAGTTCCACTGCTGAACGGCTCTCACAGTCAGGAAGTTCTTCCTCATGTTCAGATGGAATCTCCTCTCTTGTAGTTTGAAGCCATTGTTCCGCGTCCTAGTCTCCAAGGAAGCAGAAAACAAGCTTGCTCCCTCCTCCCTGTGGCTTCCTCTCACATATTTATACATGGCTATCATATCTCCTCTCAGCCTTCTCTTCTTCAGGCTAAACATGCCCAGCTCCCTAAGCTGCTCATCATAGGGCTTGTTCTCCAGACCCTTGATCATTTTAGTCGCCCTCCTCTGGACACATTCCAGCTTGTCAATATCTCTCTTGAATTGTGGTGCCCAGAATTGGACACAATATTCCAGATGTGGTCTAACCAAAGCAGAATAGAGGGGTAGCATTACTTCCTTAGATCTAGACACTATGCTCCTATTGATGCAGGCCAAAATCCCATTGGCTTTTTTTGCCGCCACATCACATTGTTGGCTCATGTTTAACTTGTTGTCCACGAGGACTCCAAGATCTTTTTCACACGTACTGCTCTCGAGCCAGGCGTCACCCATTCTGTATCTTTGCATTTCATTTTTCTGCCAAAGTGGAGTATCTTGCATTTGTCACTGTTGAACTTCATTTTGTTAGTTTTGGCCCATCTCTAATCTGTCAAGATCATTTTGAATTCTGCTCCTGTCCTCTGGACTATTGGCTATCCCTCCCAATTTGGTGTCGTCTGCAAACTTGATGATCATGCCTTCTAGCCCTTCATCTAAGTCGTTAATAAAGATGTTGAACAGGACCGGGCCCAGGACGGAACCCTGCGGCACTCCACTTGTCACTTCTTTCCAAGATGAAGAGGAAGCATTAGTGAGCACTCTCTGTGTTCATCCACTTAACCAATTACAGATCCACCTCACCGTAGTTTTGCCTAGCCCACATTGGACTAGTTTCCTTGCCAGAAGGTCATGGGGGACCTTGTCGAAGGCCTTACTGAAATCCAGGTACGCTACATCCACGGCATTCCCCGCATCTACCCAGCTTGTAGCTCTATCGAAGAAAGAGATCAGATTAGTCTGGCATGACTTGTTTTTGATAAATCCATGTTGACTATTAGCGATGACTGCATTTGTTTCTAAGTGTTTGCAGACCGCTTCCTTAACAATCTTTTCCAGAATCTTGCCCGGTATCGACGTGAGGCTGACCGGACGGTAGTTGTTTGGGTCATCCTTTTTTCCCTTCTTGAAGATTGGGACCACATTGGCCCTCCTCCAATCTGCTGGAACTTCTCCCGTTCTCCAAGAACTCTCAAAGATGGTTGCCAATGGTTCCGAAATGACTTCCGCTAGTTCCTTCAATACTCTGGGGTGTAGTTGATCTGGCCCTGGGGACTTGAACTCATTAAGAGCGGCCAGGTATTCCTGGACGACTTCTTTCCCAATTTGGGGTTGGATGTCCTCCAATCCCTCATCCACTCCATCTGCTGAGGTTGAAGACTCTCTTTTTGTGAGAAGACCGAGGCAAAGAAGGCATTAAGTAGTTCTGCCTTTTCCCTATCCCCTGTCAGCATTGCCCCATCTTCTCCTCGAAGAGGTCCTATCGCCTCCTTGTTTTTCCTTTTTCTACTGACATAAGAATAGAAGCCCTTTTTATTGTTTTTAATGTCCCTGGCAAGTCTGAGCTCGTTTTTTGCTTTAGCCTTGCGGACCTTTTCCCTACAGGTGTTGGCTATTTGTTTGAATTCTTCTTTGGTGATTTCTCCCTTTTTCCACTTCTTGTGAATGTCTCTTTTGTGTCTTAGCACAGTTAGAAGTTCTTTGGACATCCATTCTGGCTTCTTTGCACTTGTCCTATTTTTTCTCTTTGTTGGCACGGTTTGCAATTGCGCCTTGAGTATTTCACTCTTGAGAAATTCCCATCCATCCGTAACTCCCTTGTCTTTTAGTATCTGTGTCCACGGAATGCTGGTCAGCGTTTCCTTCATTTTTTGGAAATCAGCTCTCCTAAAGTCCAAAATGCGGGTTTGACTTGTCTTAGTTTCGGCCTTCCTTTGTACCTCAAATTGCAGGAGCACATGGTCACTTGCCCCTCAGGATCCTACCACTTCGACCGCATCGATCAGGTCCTCCGCATTTGTTAGGATGAGATCAAGAGTAGCCAATCCCCTTGTTGCCTCTTCTACCTTCTGGACCATGAAATTGTCTGCAAGGCAAGCGAGGAATTTGTTGGACCTTGTACTCTTGGCCGAGTATGTTTTCCAGCAAATATCGGGATAGTTGAAATCGCCCATGACTACTACATCTCTTCTCTGTACCTGTTTGGTCAACTGTTGGCAGAAGACTTCATCAAGTTCTTCCTCCTGGCTTGGGGGTCTGTAGTAGACGCCTACAACGACATCTTTTTGAGTCCCAGTTCCCTTGATTCTTATCCAGATGATTTCAAGCTGGTTTCCCAGATTGCTGTCTTGAATCTCTTCTGCAGCATAAGAGTTTTTGACATATAAGGCTACTCCGCCTCCTCTCCCCTTTGTTCGGTTTCTGTGAAAGAGGTTATACCCCTCGATATCTACATTCCAGCGATAGGAGTCATCCCACCAGGTTTCAGTGATCCTTATGATATCATATTTGTGGTGTTGTGCTAAAAGTTGGAGTTCGTCTTGTTTATTTCCCATGCTCTGTGCATTAGTGTAAAGACATGTGAGCCCCTGAGATCTTCCCGTGGTAGTGAGTGATGCCTCGCTTATTACTATAAATTAAAGGGAAACTGTCAGCTGTAATGATTGGTAGTCTTTTCTATGTGTTTGGGTTTCATTGTCAAGAGAACATTCAACATTTTAAGTCCACGAGACAAGGTGAGCTCTTGTCTGTCAGCTCCAGCTTCCCATGCAGGGACATTTATTTATTTATTTACAACATTTCTACCCCGCCCTTCTCAACCCCCTGAGGGGGGACTCAGAGCAGCTAACAATGGCAACAATTTGATGCCGCAAATATCACAGTAAACAACAATATAAAACCATAAATACACAATAGCTTAAAAACAATAACATTAGTTATACAATCATATAGCTTCTTTTTTTTCCTTCCTCCTTTCCCCCTGGGGGATGTTTAGGGTTAGGGACAAGTTTAGGGTTAGGGACATGAGAGAAGCCTCCCACAGGATGGTAACACATCCGGGAGTCCCCTGTGCAATGTCCCTGCAGACAACCAATTCTCTCACACCAGAAGATACTTGCAGTTTCTCAAGTCTCTTCTGACACGATAAAAAAAAAACTTGGAATTCATTTCCTTTCCCCTCCATCCCTGAAAAAGTGGAATGGATTTTGTTGCTAGGATGTATCCACAGTACACAGTTTTAATTTTCCATGTTAGCTTATGATATGTTCTGTTATAAAATGATGGCCTAATTCTTGCTGTTAGTATGAAATTGGATACAACCCTTGAATCCATTGGATTTACAGTTCAGTGGGCTTGCTCTAGTAGTTGGAACTAATACATTCTTATCTGGAGTATCCATCACTTAATTAAACAAGTTATTCAAGAGTTGCAATAAGGTCAAATATGTTTCCTTATTTTAGACCAGGAGTGCCGCTGAGACTGAAGCTCGAACCCCGTATGGACTCATAAAGGGTCATGCATATTCAGTAACAGGTATTAACGAAGTAAGTGGGTTTTTATGGTGATTTTCCTCCCTGGGAAGAAGGAAGGGAATAAATAAATAAAGGAATGTGCATTTTAAAGAGAAGGGAACAAATATTGGGGGTGGAGTGGGGGGACACGATGATGTCAGCGACTGAGATTTTGCTACTGTAGCTCACAACTCAAATTCCTTGATGTCTCTAATTTCTGTTATATAACCAGAGAAATCATAATATCTCATGCTTTAAAATGCTGAGGTAGAGAAGCAAGTTTTATTAAATAACTCTCAGCATATGCAATTTCTGTAAAGTGGGAGCTCAGGTCTCTTTTGCTGTAATTCTGTCAGTGCACTAAGGTAGCAATTGTACCTTTTTTCCAGATTGCTTAATGGCACCAAGGAGAGACAGATAATATCTGTCGCCTCCAAGCAGACTATTTTCCTTCAATTCTGCGGTACTCACAGGTTTTTCATTCTGCCACAAAGTGCCTCAGCCATGAACCATGGAATCAGAGTTTGAAAGAAGGGCTTTCTAGTTCAAACGCTCTGCCACACAGAAATATACAACTAAGGTTCTATCTACACGGTCATATAATGTAGTTTGAAACTGCATTGTTGTGTCAGTGTAGGCTAATATAAGGTATTTTAACTGCATTGAATTGCATTATATGAGCATACACTGACTCTATAATGCAGTTTCAAACTGCAATGTATGGCAGTGTAGATGGGGCCCAAATCAGTCCTGAGAGACACCATTCAACTTCTGCTTAAAAACTTTCAAAACAGGAGATATAACTAGCCTCCAAGGATACCCATTTCTCTTTGATCTTATGGCAAAGAGGTTCATCTTATGTTTAGATGGAATCTCCTTTATGTTCATTTGAATCTGTTGTCTGTGCAGAAGAAAACAAGCTGGTTCCAAATGACTGATATTGCCTCAGACACTTAAAAATGACTATTATATTATCTCTCAGGCCTCTTCTACGCTGCCATATAATCCATCTTACCAAATCATAAAATCCACATTATCTGCTTTGAACTGGATTATCTGAGTCTATACTGCCATACAATCCAGTTCAAAGCAGATAATCTGGATTTTATATGTCAGTGTAGAAGGGGTGTCAGCCTTCTGTTCTCCAAACTAAGCATATCCAGATCACTAGACCATCCCACAGAAGTCTTGGTTTCCTGACCTCTTACCACCCTGGGTACCCTGCTCATTCCAGTTTGTCAATTCCCTGCTTAATCTGTGGCATTCAGGATCACTCTTTAAATCCATCTGTAAGATGCAAGGGATTGGGGTGAGCATCTGCAGATGGTCTTGTACTGTTTTTCAGCTCTGGCCAGTACAGGCAATCATGGAAATGTTGCTGGGCTGCACCTTTGTGACATCTGGATAGCCACGTATTTCTCACCTCTGCAGTATAAGTTGAAATTGTCGGATATGCTTCTCCACTGAGTAATTCTGCTGACTGTAATAAAAGTTCTTTAGCTGTTTGAGGAATGTAAATGTTGTCATATTCTAAAGCCATTTTCACTTTCATTCCTAGGTCAACTACCAAGGACGGAAAGTGAAGCTCATTCGTATTAGGAATCCATGGGGTCAAGTGGAGTGGAATGGTCCTTGGAGTGACAAGTTAGTATTTTAAGTGGGGTAATTAATCAATATAAGCTCTGTCTGAAATAGTCCCATTATATTGGACACAGTAGATTCTAAATTTGGCTGGGAATAATAATGGGTAGATAACCAAACCTAGGACACCTAAAATGTAATCACTAACTATAAAAAACATAATTTAAATTACCTTCAGAGGAGTAATTGTGTTAGTTGTTTGCAGAAAAAGCAACAAGCAGTCTTATAGCACCCCAAAGCCTAGCAAGTTTATCTAGTATAATTTTTGCCTCACTTAGGGAAGATGCGGGAAGAATGCAAAAGATATCAGAAAGTAATAACCTTTATGCTTCTGTTGAATAGTCATTGTGATGAAAAGGCACATCAAGCTATGTCAATCTGGTGGGAAAAAATATGACCGCTTACAACAGTGGTTCCCAACCTATGGTCTGTGGACCACCAGTGGTCCCCAAGAACTAAAATATGGTCTGCGGCCTCACCATTACTACACCATTGCAACAAGAGCAACTGGTTTTGCGAAACCCTCTTATAGTGCTGAGGGAACAAGGATTTCAGTAGGGTAGAGGCTGACTACCCAAAAATCGCGCGACAACAAGCCTTCTGACTGATGCTTCTTCTCCCCCTTCTTCCCCTTGAGCGGAGAAGTTCTATGTAGCGCCTGGAAGTGGGAGCTCCTTGGAGTCTTTGTTTTCAGGACTGTTCATGGGGTTATTTGGGGTGCTGATTCAGAAAATTGCATTGATAGACCGAATCTGCTCTAGATTATTGAATATGGTTTTCTGTGGGCGAGCAGATGGCAACTACTGAATGGCATATGTTCTGTATCAGAAACTAGAGCTGACGTGGTCTAGCCAAAGCAGTTTTCTGAATCAGCACCCCAAATAACCAAACCAAATCTAAAGTTGACCAAAAACTTATTCATAACCCTTTTGGTACTAATGTTGGAGAGTGGTCCTGGTCAAAGTGGTCCTTGATCAAGTGGTACCTTGTCAGAAAAAGGTTGGGAATCACTGGTTTACAACAGAGCTCCTTGGGTTTTGCTGGTTTCACCTTTGCATCCGCTCATTTTATTTTGGGGGAATTGGATGTTTGTGGCAATATATTGGATCTGCATTACAGCAAAACTGAATGGGCATATGAATGGACATATATAAAACTAATATAGAAATTAAATAGACTCATCTATCCATTATTAAGGTTAGTGGGCCTTCAAAATGATATGTCCATCAACTACTGTGTCCAAATAATATGAAGTCTCCAAATTTGAGATATTACAAGTTCTGTGCAAAATGACATTTAAGTATATATATTTATTTATTTCAGTTCACATAAATGATAAATCAAGTTTGCCAAGAGAGTCTATGGCAAAGATAACTTTTATTACTAATTAATGAAAATTGTCTCTTTCTCTTTAAGTTCCCCAGAATGGAATTCTATCAGTCCATCTGAGAAAAAGCGTTTGTATCAGACAGCACTAGATGATGGAGAATTCTGGTAAATGAATATGCTGATTAAAATTATACACACATCAAAGCAAAAGCTCTCTTTTGGATCATTACTGTTTAGTTGGATCAGAGGCATGCAGAAGACATATTGAAATACTTCATTGCATTTATTACAACAAGTCACTTTAATATCAAATCTTTGACTGACGTGGTTTTTAGTTTTGAAATACGTTTTTATGGATTTTAACTGAATTTTTAGTACCAATGATATTTAATTCTTTTAAACTAATCTACAGAATCACCTCTCTTTCCATTTTGCATAGGATGAAGTTTGAGGATTTCCTGGCACATTTTGATAAAGTTGAAATCTGCAACCTCACACCTGATGCCCTTGAGGACAACGTTGCGCACAAATGGGCAGTAACGGTCCACCAAGGCAGTTGGGTTAGAGGTGCCACTGCTGGAGGGTGCAGGAACTTTATTGGTATGCATTCAAATATTACTATGTACTTGAAATCATCGTTAAGGATCTACATGAGATCCTGGATTGGGGGATTGAGGGAAGCAGTGGTCCATATAAAAGGCAGGAGGGCTGAGGCACTCTTACAGTCCAGATGATGTTCCAGGGCAGGGATGAAGAAAATGACTGTATTTTTACATATGAGCCTGCCTTTATTTCTGTGCTTCTCAGCATCTTATGGGACTATGAAGTCCCATAAGATGCTGAGAAGGACAAGGAGAAGGAAAAGGATCTGAGATCATATTCTACCAAGTCCTATTAACAATTCTGTCAATCGGTGATTTTGAATCTTTTCAAGAATCAGTGACATATTGTCAGGTAATGTGAATTGTCCCAAATGGTGACAATTTGAAATTGTGCCGTTGTGATCCTAAATATTGTGATTTACTTCAGGTATTTGATCAATATGTTTTGAATTGTTCTCATAGCAGCAATCACCACTGGAAACACAATACTTCAGGAGCAATTCCAAACAAAATGCCTAAATGCAATCACATTGCACATTTACAATTCCCATATGAGTTTATTTAAGATAATAATAAAATAAAAATAGAACTTTATTTATACCCCATCTCCATCCCCCCAGGGGCACTCAGGGCGGCTAACATGAGGCCAAGGCCAACAGTTGCAACAAGGCAAAATGAATACAACATACAATCATAAAATAATACATAAAATAAAATACAATAAAAGAAATGAAATGAAAAGAAATTGATACAAAATAGACACAGGGTATAACATAAATAACAAAAACATTGAGCCGAGTGGGCAGGGCCAAGTACAACAAATAGGATTTTAAAAACCCTGGGTAAGATGGATAAGTAGGGTAGTGTATCTGGTGGGAGGTTTGGATGGGATGACCAATGGGGTTTAATTTCAACTGAAGGGTGAGATAAAGTGCATCAAAGGGCATTTTGTACTGAGTTGGTCAAGGTAAGGGAATTTGCTGTTATTTTTTCCTATGTATGGAGACTTTTGGAACCCCTTGTACATGTGGAAATCCAAGGGGGTAGTAGAATTGAAAACGAAGTGAAAGGAAAAATGGTCCAAAGTGCTATGTACACTGATGGCATTATATAAATAAATGATGATCATGATGATGATGGCTGCAATCCTGTTGGGGAGTTACAAAGGCATAAGTATCATAAATACAGTTAATTCCATCCTTACAACCCCCCCCCCCAATCCCCATTTACAAGGCAACAGCTACTGTGATCAATTGGGGGTCTATTCCCATTCTATGAGAGATCTGATCTCTGGTGTGATAGGCAGAAGCAAGGTCTCTGTTGCAATAGTAATAATAATATATCAAGACCTGCAACTTGAGATTCAGAATCACTGAAAAAGAAAACAACTGCTGTTCCAGTGTTGGTAGGTGCTCAGAGAGCAATTCCAGATACCAAACAAATTCTTTTTTGTTGTCTTGATTCCAGAAACATTTTGGACAAATCCACAATTCAAGATCCAACTATCAGAAAAAGATGATGGAAAAGATGGCTGCACATTTCTGGCGGCTCTAATGCAAAAAGACCGCCGCAAACTAAAGAAACTTGGAGCAGAAATGCTAACAATAGGATATGCTATTTATGAGGTATTTCTTACTGTGTGAGGATCGCTTCTGCAATACTTTGATGGAAAAAACTGTCAGGACTCTGGCAGATACCTGTCAAGCCATGGCCTTGCTGTAATGGTAGGCTCTGAGCCCCTGCCCCGAGGTCAGTGCAAGGCATTTTGCTGCCTGAGGAAAATATAGTGCTCCCACCCCTATTTTCATAGATAGAAACACTCTAGTTTGCCATTGCTTCTCCACCAATATCTGTGTCTTCAGACATGTGTTTCAGTCTGTGACAGGGCCAGCACACTTCTTCCCTTTCAGTGGGGCTTGGAGATGAGTTGTTTTATTGTGGTTTATAGCAGGCATGAACAAACTTTGGCCCTCCAGGTGTTTGGATTTCAACTCCCACAATTCCTAACAGAAGTTGAAGTCCAAAACACCTGGAGGGCCAAAGTTTGCCCATGCCTGGTTGATAGTCTCAAGTGGTACTTTTGTCATGAATTGCTTAAACTGGGTTCCTACTGAAACACTAAAGAATGGCATGCAGGACCCAAGAGGTACTGCCTCTAACTGCTTTTTACTGATAGGCAAAGTACTCTCCCAGTTTTTATAAGTAAGCCTATAAGACTCATTTGGAAGCTCTCTGGCAGAAACTCTGCAATGTCTCATGAAACTTTCAATCCCTGCATTCCTTAGGATGGAACCATGGCAATGAAAATGCTGTAATTGTGTACTATGAAACAGATATTATTTATTATCACTGAATGATTTATTTAAAAAGCTGTGTTGTCAAAAATAATATTAGCAATGAATGTTTAAAAATTGAGTTTTTATATATATCACTTTCCTACATAACGTCGAAATAGATATTTGCTATTTCTTATGCTACACTTAAAGTCAGTGTATGAGAATATAATATTCTACAGGGCAATATGTATGACCTTTTCAGGGGGAGCTTGGAGAGCATCTTTGGGAGCTGTGGCCACAGTGCGTTCTGTGGGGCGGCATGCAGTTCATAGGTTGCACCTTGCCCATCTATTGGATTACAAGAAAAAAAATGCCTGAAATTGGAATTTGCTTTCCAGAGCATAATAGTCAATCCTTCATAAAACAGAAGACATAATCAACTATGTTTGCCAAGCTAACTAATGGATCTGAACATCCGATTTCAGAGCCCGGATGAAGATGAACAGTTGACAAAAGACTTTTTCCGCTACCATGCGTCCAAAGCCAGGAGCAAAACATATATAAATGTGAGAGAAGTCTCTGACCGATTTACACTACCACCTGGTGATTACATTATTATCCCTACCACATTTGAGCCACATCAAGAGGCTGATTTCTGCCTAAGAATTTTTTCTGAGAATAAAGCACTTACTAAGTAAGTATTACCAGCTCTTTTATCCAGCTGCGAGAGATTTTTGTGTGTCAGGAGCAACTTGAGAAACTGCAAGTTGTTTCTGGTGTGAGAGAATTGGCTGTCTGCAAGTATGTTGCTCAGGGGACGCCTGGATGTTTTACCATTCTGTGGGAGGCTTCTTTCTTGTCCCTGCATGAGAAGCTGGCGCTGACAGACGGGAGCTCATCCCACTCCCCGAATTTGAACCGCCAACCTTTTGGTCAGCAGCCCTGCTGGCACAAGGATTTAATCCATTGAGCTACCGGGGGCTCCTGGCTACAAGATATGTTAACAGACAAGTATGCATTTTGAAATTCTCCTCACTGGCAGTCTATGATTGAAATAGATCCTGAAAAAGATACTTTTTACTTGTAAACATTACATGTCTAGTAGACTCCCCTTCTCCATTGTTTTTGGTCAAAAGTGATGAGCAGAATTGATATGACTTCATATATACTGCTTGTACACTGGAATGTGCTGGTACAACGTCTAAGTGCATTAACATTGGCCTCTGCCTCACACATAGTTGCTTTGTCCCCCTTAAATGTAAGAACTGGGTCTGGGGCACACTTAAATTAATCCATTTTCTATACAGTGTACATGATTCTCTCTTTTTCTCTTTCCTTCTCTCTCTCTCTCTCTTGTTGATCATTTATCTATCTCTTAGTAAGTTCAAAATGCTGACCAGTAGAAAGTTTGGTTTATTTATGTATATTTTCTTAGAATCATGTTTTTTTTAATCACAGGGAAATGGATGGAAAAGTTGACATCAACCTGCCAGAGGTAGGTCATGAAACTCAAAAGAACGACTGGACAAATCATCACAATCAAATTCACTCTTTTTTGTACTGAGATGATTTGATTTCATCTGTATCTGACAACCCCAATTCAAAACAAGGCTTGAATCTATCACCTAATATTTTAACAATGAGAATCTTTCTGCATAATCAGAAATACTTTAATTTTGCTTAAAACATCACCTCATAATGTATTAATTGTTCTAGCTTCCAGAACCAACACCCCAAGAAGAAGAAACAGAAGAAGAGAAGCAGTTCCGAACATTATTCACACAGATTTCAGGAGAGGTAACAATATACTAATAAAATAGAAATAAAGTCATAACCCAGGGAGGAAAACAACAACCACTGGATGACTTTCAGTGCCCAGTGGCTAGTACATGACATTCCTAATAAGACTAAGAAAAATTAAAAATCTGGAAAGCCACTCTCAGTACAAAACAAAACGAAACTGGACGCAAATGCAGGCTACTCAGTGTTCTAAAATAAGACTGTCTGGGCCCTGGATTTTAAAATGGGATATCATGAGCATGGCCACCCTTTAAGTCAGCTGAGACTGCTATGTGCCTTGCTGGAGGAGTTTTGTGACTTCAGAGGAAAATGGGCTGTTTGGTGGGCTTGGGGGAAAATTGCACCTACTGCCCAAGTTGTCCACCTTGAAATTGGAAAGTCCCTTGCACATCATCCAAAAAAAAAAAAAGACATCTGTGTGGAGGCAGCAACACAATTGTATGCTCTCTATCTCCTTGTATGTGTTATCAGTGAATCTCATTACCATTTTTTCATCCCCAAAATATGGCTGGATCTTCTTAAATGGGAAAATTCCAAGTTGTTTATTGGCAAGAGACTCTTGTGTGATGTAGCATGTGTACAACTTATTAAGGCAAGTGAGACTCTGGAGAGAAAAAATCTGATTGGGTGTCCAAACAATATGTTCCTATCCTGGAGCCAAGATGAAAGGTTGACTTCAATGGGATTAGTTAATGGAATGTTAACTTTTGGTAATATATTAGTCTAGCCTTAGATGTTGTGACATTTGTGTCTCTACAGTTAGATACAGCTGTTCCTGACCAATAAAAGGTATTAAGCAGATCCTTGAGTTTTTGAAATGTGCAGTTCAAATGATGCCATGTTGGTCTGTGATTTATGGAAAGAACTTTGGTTACATAATTTGCCCCAAAATTCAGATATGCTACTTTTTAAAACTATATGCCAGATCCCAAAATGTGAATGCTGCCTGCCTTTCTTCAACTGCAGGACATGGAGATCAGCCCAGAGGAACTTGAATATGTTCTGAATGCTGTATTGAAAAAAAGTAAGTCCCATCAACTACTTTTTCCCAATTGACAAGCAATTTGTTATCCCACATCATGATGCAACTCTGCTAATCCAGGAGATAATATGTTAAGCAGTAAATTACATTCAAAGATGAATTACAGTTCCATCAAATTAGTTTTATTATTTGGAAATAAGTTTGGTTGAGTACATTTACTATGCTCACATGTGATCTGAAAACAATTTCCCCTACCTTGTAATGCAGTGTTGCAAGCCAATCAACTTAGGACCTCATCACATTGAGGTCCTTGATGCAGGGGATAGCGGGGGGGGGGGGGGGGGGGGGGGGGGGGAGCATAAGGAAGCGGGGCAAATCATGAGCCAAATCTGTTGCCCAATGCCTCACATCGCCTACACCAACTACATTGTCCCCGTAATTCTCCCATGGGTAGTCTCCCATGTTCAGGTTTCTCTCTCCTACCACGCTTCCTCAATGCAGCTGGCATGGAGCTCACCAGAAGTAGTTGCACCTCATGAGATGAGATCTGGCAGGCTCCATGCTGCCTACGTAGAGGAAGTGTCATAGGATGCACCATTTATTGAATGTGATGAGATTCTTTAACTCTTACCCGAAGCCTTGAGACTGAACCATAGAAAGATGAATGCAACAAAGAGTGATGCTTTTTGCTTTGGGATGCATTTCCTTTTATCTGTTATGATCATGATTCTCTTGCAGCAAACAACATCAAATTCAAGAAAATAAGTCTTCTTTCATGTAAAAATATAATTTCCCTAATGGATGTATCCTTTTGTGCTTTTGTGCTTGTGCTTTTGCATTTGTTGTCTCAAATACAAAAGAAATGAGGATTATTGGTATGCTTTAGCAGAAAATCTAAGCAAGAAATGACATAAAGACCTAGAAAAGCTTTCTGGGGAAAAATGTTTGTGTTTGTTATGCCTCCAAAACTGAAACTTTAGATCCATTCAGATTAATTAAAAAGATGTAAAAGTCCCAGAATCGGTTCTGTTCTTTCTGATTTTATCTAGGAGAAATGCTGTTTACCTCAGAGCATTTTCTCTTGGCTCCCAGTACAACTCTATATAACATATCCCGAGTCAGTTTGTTTTAACCAAGTACATAAGATAATAAAAAAATCAACAAAATCCAGTATTTTGAAAATCAATCTGGATGTGCCCCTAAATGCCTGCACTTTGATGCATGCACTTTGGGAGTTCTGAAGGCATGAATCCTATTTTGATGTAAAATTGGTTAATGCATCTGAAATAATTTAAAACTCTTTCTAGCCTACATTAAGTGTGCCAGTAGATGGTCTCTTGGATATTCCACAAATATAAAGATTTCCTTAAAAGCAGGGAATTGCAACAACTTTTCCAAACATTTGGACCTAGAGTCAGAATACTTAAAATTTGCGCTCAGCATTTGATATCTCAATTTATGGTATTCCAAGTGCTGCCAGAGCCAAGGTATTATCTGTATGTAACCCAGTTAGCTACTGAAACCTTTCTATTCTTGCCTCCATGAGTGTGTGAAAGTCAGAATTTTTAATATTTATTTGTTGGGCAGCTCCTAAAATCCCCCATGGCCAGATTTCAGGTTTCTGGAAAGATCATTCAAGAAGTATTGTTTTTAAATTTGGGGTATAGCTTCCTAGATTTGAGCATTAATCTGCTTAACACAGAAATGTGGCTACCTGTATTTGAGGAATTAGAATACTGCACCTCAGGGAGATAAATGGAGGAGATGAGAAATCAAATGTACCCTAAATACAGGCAGTTCCCAAGTTATGAACAAGATAGGTTCTGTAGGTTTGTTCTTAAGCTAAATTTGTATGTAAGTTTTTAACAGGTATATCTTTCAAATGTAACTCCAGCCCCAAATATGTCTCTGTGTGTGCGTGTGTGTGTTTTGGATAGCATAGGGGAGGGTTAACACCCCTTTGGTGATTGCTTTGCTGTCTGTGTCCCTGTTCAGATGATTTCACCTCACTTTCTGTCCCTGTGAGAATTGGATTTTGAAAAATCTGGCTCGTTGTGGAAACAAGGATTGGTGGTAAAGCTTCAGTGGAGACACCTTTTCCTCATGATAACTCTTTCAAGAGTGGGTTTCCCTTCTGAGGGGTAGATTTCCCTCACTTCTTGTTGTCTCAACCACATTTCTATGAGTTGTTTGTAAGTCAGATGTTTTTAACTTGGGGACATTCTGCATATAGCAAAGGGTTTGGAAATGGAAAGGTAGGATAAAGACCAGGGCTGATAGGGAAGGAAAACCACACACAAAATGGTGGGGGTGAGGAGAAAAAGAAATGTCTCATCTCTTCATTATTTTTCAAGAAATAGCATGAGCAAACTTTAGCAGCAGGATGACACATGATACTGTTAGTACAGAGTACAGTAGAAGAATTGTGCAATTGTTGATGCCAGTTGCACATGTTTCTGAACATCTAGTTCTGGCCTATGACCTGCTATGCTCTCTCAAGCAGTGGAGAAATAGGACCACATTTCTCAAAATTCACAAATTGCAATGGCTTGGAGTCATAGCCTTAAAAGTAACTGCCAACTTCTGGCTATGGTGCTCTGTTATGTGATAGAGTTGCAGTACCACAACCATTCCTTATTCTCAAGGTTGATTACTTATGGGACAGCATCCCTATCAGAGTGGTGCAAAAGGCACTAAGAGGATTTGGATAAAAAAAGAGCTGTAACAGGAATATCCCAAATGGCCTTTACTGTCAGAGCATCCTCTTATTTTTGTGGCACTATTCCCCTCCACAAAGATACTGATTTTTGCCAAATGGGATGGAGTAAGATTATCCTACCTAACCAGGGACAGCGTGTGGTCTTTCCAGAGGCCAACCCTCTCCAGCATTTTGGGATTTCAATCACAGGTTATCACAGTACCTAGATATATATAGAATATGACTTTTTTGTAGCAGCAATCAACATTAATCAATAGGAGTCACCAATGTAAACTGTAATGTAAGTTGGACATGTCATTTTACATATGCAATGCCTGTTTTTCTTAATATGAACTACATCAGTCCAGTGGAAATGGAAAACTGGATTTCAGTGAGTTCAAAATTTTCTGGGATAAACTGAAAAAGTGGATTGTAAGTATGTTCATTTTTTCTTAGTAGAATTCTGAGAATAATTGTTAAACTGAGAATAAAACAGAAAGAGTTTGTCTTTATTTGAGCTTTGCCTTTCTTCAGCCCTTCTAGGGCCTATCCAGACAGTACCTTTATTGTAGTAACTCCTGCAATAAAGGAGGGACTGTCCAAACAATGTTCTGGACAGTCCCAAATTAATTTGCTACAAACTAGGAAAATTCTGGTTTGTAGCGAATTAATTTGATAATGGATTTATTCCACGTCTTCTTGGAAGGCACTGGATAAATCCACTATTTCCAGTGTCTGGACTGCAGTCCAGACAGCATTCCCACAGTTTCCCAGATTAAATTAGTCCGGAAAACTGTGGGAATACCCACCACTCCCCCACAGCCCCCAAACCCCTTCGAAAAGTAAAATAAACTTACCTGGCCTCCAGTGCACTCTCGATGCAGCTCCCCCAGTGCATAGAAATGATGCGCCAGGAGAGGGGGGGAAGAAAATCGCTTCCCCCCCCCCACACACACACACACATACACACCGCTCTCCTGGCATGTCATTTCTACTTTTCTAAGAGGTCTGGAGGCTTTGGGAAGTGGTGTAGGGCCTCTAGATGTTCTCGTGGGCCAGTCCTGCAAGAGCATCTGGACACCCGCCCCAGAAAGCGCACGCTTTCTGGGGTGGGTGTGGACAGGCCCACAGGAAAATCTGCGTTTTTAAAATGTGGACCCTCCTGGGATAAAGACCTGACTGGATCTGCCCCTAGAAGCAGTTATAGTGCAGACTTTTTTGAGGCTTACCATTTTGATTCAACGTGAATACTGTTAAAAGTTATTCCTAGGAAACATGCTTGGTTTTCTATACTGCAAATTGTAATAGTGTACGGGAAACATTAACAGTACTTTCATTCTATTTTTTTTTTTAAAAAAAAGCATTCTTGAGATAATTAATGTCAGAAATGTTCCTTAGGATAAAGCCAAGTAAAATAAATTGTGAATATAATACATTACTATTGGTACAACCAAGAAGAAATTGCTGATTCACGATTAGAAGAAAACATACTTAAATCCTTGAGGAGTGGCTAAGTTTCCATTCCTTATTTCTGTTTCAAAGAGAAAGCCATGTTAAATTGCTTCCATATAAAAAGAAAAGGTAGTTATGGTGCACTTTTAAGGCAATTAATTTCAGCATGAGTTTTTTGTGGAATACATCCCAAATTAATTACTCTTAAAGATGCCAATATGATTTTTTTCCTTTGGAAATCTGAAACGGACTGTTAGAATACACATTGGGCAGACAATAAATAATCCTCATGTTTCAACTACATGATAGTCATGGGGTTCCACTAATACTGAAGGAACTACCATGTCAACAGTGTTTACAATGGACCCATTATTTGATGGTAGTCAACATTTCAGGGCACCCTGAGTCCAGTGAAAACCCTTTATGAAGCCATGGTGGTGCAATGGGTTAAACCCTTGTGCTGCTGAACTGCTGACCTGAAGGTTGGCTGAACTGCTGACCTGAAGGCCGGGAGTTCAAATCCATGAGATAGGGTGAGCTCTCATTTGTCAGCTATAGCTCTTGCCAACCTAGCAATTTGAAATCATGCAAATGTGAGTAGATAAATAGGTACCACTTTGGCGGGAAAAGGCAAAGAGACACTCCAAACAATCTTGCTGGCCGCACGTCCAGGAGGTTACAACATAGGCTCCTCACCTTGAAAATGGAGGAAAGCACCTCCCCAGAGCAAGAGATGAGCTCCAGAAGCCGAAAATGAAAGGAGAACCCTCAGCCTTTGTATGTGTTTGTGTGTCTCATTGTATATGATTGTAAAGGCATTGAATGTTTGCCTATGTAAATGCTGTAATCCGCTCTGAGTCTCCTAGCGGAGAAGGGCAGAATATAAATAAAGACTATTATTATTATTATTATTATTATTATTATTATTATTATTATTGGACAGGGAAGTGCTTAACTCAGATGAAATAGACAGTGGTTGACTTTATTCATCCATTCTATACAGGGCTGTTGGATTTAAAGAATGCTTTAACTGTATACTTGAAAATGCAACATTTGATCAATATGTAAGTAAAGGTAAAGTTTTCCCCTGACATTAAGTCTAGTCGTGTCTGACTCTGGGAGGTGATGCTCATCTCCATTTCTAAGCCAAAGAGCTGGCGTTGTCTGTAGCCACCTCCAAGGTCATATGGCCAGCATGACTACATGGAGCATTGTTAACTTCCCGCAGAAGCGGTACCTATTGATGTACTCACATTTGCATGTTTTCGAACTGCTAGGTTGGCGGAAGCTGGGGCTAACAGCAGGAGCTCACCCCGCTTTCTGAATCCAAACCGCCAACCTTTCGGTTGGCAAGTTCAGCAGCTCAGCAGTTTAACCTGCTGCACCACCATGGGTTCCTGATCAATATGTAGGGACAACCATTCTATTAATACATGTATTATCATTAGCTCCCTGTTGAGTATATGCTCAAAAGCAGAATTGGCATGGCATATAATGCATAATACTTCCAGATATAGAGATAAAGAAATGGTTTGTCAGTCTGCTGTCCTTCACACAAACAAGACAATTCCCAACTTGGACTTAGTGAGTGGTTGTCCTGTTCTAATACAGCATTAACCTAGTAAAAGGTAGAACTTGGGTTGTCACATTTTTTAATGCTTAGCCTAATGAATTTACAAGTCTGTTACCCTTGAAAAGGCAGATGATGTGAAAATGCTACCACTGAAAAAAAAATCACCCAGAAAATAAAAATGTCTTAATTCTTTTTCCTCTCACTGACATGCTTACCATTTGCAGCAATGTGTTCTTTCTCTTTTTTTGTCCAGGGTATCTACCTCCATTTTGATGCAGATCACTCCGGCACCATGTCTGCCTATGAACTTCGTCTTGCTTTAAAAGCAGCAGGTAATATTTTTGTTAAAATGTGGTCATGGCAGGATGTAAACCCCCCTGTCCAGTCAGGTGTGGGAACCATCTACTTTTGAATATGTTAATTTCTGTAATACTAGCCAGTGGTGAGGAAAAGTCATATGATCCTAGTCTACTCTTGCTGGTGGCATATTGTAGAAGGCAAGGGAAGAGTAGGAAGAACAGGTACACTAGCTTGGAATTCTGGGGACCCAATGATAAATCTGTAGGTAGCTTTTTCAAAATGGCCCACACTAAAAGATGAACTCTATATATGATCTAAGAAATCGATCAATTGCTCATCCATGCCTTTCACTTCTAAACTGAGAAGAGTTTATGCCACCAGGGGTAGGGGTTAATCTTTTCCCCTTGCTACTTCCATCATGGAATATTAACCATGGACAAGTTGAATAAAATACAAAGGGTCGTCAGGATGTGGACAAATCATCAGGAGAGAAGGCTTCTGGAACATGGCCATACAGCCTGGAAAACTCACAGCAACCCGGTCTTCAGTATGTGTTGTAGTTTGGTTCCAGGATCCTCTTTAGATACCAAAAATACATGGAAGTTCAAGTCTCATTATATGCAATGGCATAGTAAAATGGTATCCCTTGTTTAAAATGGCGGAACACTCATATGAGTTGTCGAAGACTTTCATGGCTGGAATCACTGAATTGTTGTAGGTTTTTTGGACTATATGGCCATGTTCTAGAAGCATTCTCTCCTGAGGTTTCACCTGCATCTATGGCAGGCATCTTCAGAGGTTGTGAGATCTAGAGGAAGTCCAGACCTCACAACCTCATAACCTCAGAGGTTGTGAGGTCAAATGAGGACTGGAAAGAAGCCAAGGATCTGTGAAATGGTGGGAAACAATATCAAAGTATGCCTATACTTATATCAAGGTATGAATGATAGGATGTTGGACTAGATAGACTATATAGTCTCTTCCAACTCGATATTTTATAAGTAAAGGACATTAAGTCCAGTCATGCCTGACTCTGGGGGTTGGTGCTTGCGAAGCCGTGACTCCCACCGCTTGTTACTAAAAATTTAAAACCGTTCACTTG